ACTTTGCCTCCATTTAACCGATCCTGTATCTCTTGCGGTTTCCGAAATCCCAATAATGAGCGTCGAATTCGAGCCACCCTGTACAGAGTGTCCTATTTTTGTGTTTTGACAGAGTTTCTCGTTTATGAGTAGAGGTACAAATATATTATGGTTGCACATTACTGCTCTACTTTATTATGAAACTTAAAATTATATTTCATAGATTTGTCCTATCCCTCTTAGTTAATGAATAGATGGAGAATTTGAAGTTGTTGCACTTTTCGACTCCCCTTGTATCTTGGTTATCTTGTAATTTATCGGAAAGGTGAAAACTGAGTCCCGTAGATTTTTTTCAAACTAGGAAATCTGTGTGTAGCATTTTTTAAAATGGTTTTATAAAAAATAGCACTGTGATGTGAAAACCGCATCTTTATATCCCGGCTCATAAACGAGAAACCTCATAAAACATATGAAAATGAAACCTCTATACAATGCTTTCTAATGTTTTATAGTGAAAAATTCATCAGTGGCAGCTCGTGAGTTCTAAAGGAGGTTGGGTCCAATTTTCACAAGAAAAAACTTATCTACTCATTTTACGAGTAGTTAACCCTTAATAGTTTACTACCCTTCTAGTTTCTCTGCTAGAAATTACATCATTATTTGATCGTATAAAATGTAACGTAAAACTTTTATCATATGCACCCAATTATTCTTTTTTCTTTCCTTTTGCCTTGAGGGTTGAGAGAGCATCTACCCTTATGCTTTTTAACATCAGCCGCCACTGACATTTATCATTCTAATTCTAAGATTTTAGAATAATTTATATTTAAGAAAGTTCCTATAAAATGCAATAAGTAGGAAACCATACACCACTTTAGACACAGACTTTGGATGACTGATACCAAAGAATAGTTTAATACCCTGATACTGAGATTCTAATATGAAGGGCTCTGCTGTACGTGCTATATATACAGAATGAGTCTTAAATAAGTGCAAATACTTTTAGGGATAGTATATTTTCGACCCCAGAAACACGATTAGAAGTTTTTTTGCGAAAATTGGAATTATGAGATTTGGTGTGTTAGTATATGACATAAATTAGGGTTGATTGATGTATTCAGTTGTTTTTAGTCACTTCCTGTTTCACCGGAAATGACTGCAACTTTTAATTTTTAAATGGCACCCTCAGTATATTTTTACTTTATTAGATAGAAAATGACACTCTGAATAAAATGACACATCGTAATATGTATATTTTTGACATTTTCGCTGAAAAAAATCGTATTTTACATTTCAATCTAGAGTGCCATGACTGTATTAAAAACACTAATTTTTAAGCAAAGAGGCTTAAAAAATAGATTTGATCGTCTAATGTTTTTTGTGTCTTGTCCTATGGCCGATTTAAAAATCGATTTTTTAAATCTCATTTTTTTTAAATAGAACAAGGGTGGCTAATCAGCATATTTAGAAAAAGCATTTTCTCCGAATAATTTGGTAAAACACACTTGGTATTCCGAGTCAAATTGTCATTATGAACCCCATGTTACAATTTCAAACAAACCATCATAGTTGACATATTCGCATATATGGTTTATTTAAAATTGTAACATGTGGTTCATAACGACAATTTGACTCGCAATACCAGTTAAATTAAATTATTCCTAAAAAATGATTTTCCCAAATGCGCTAATGATCCACCCCCGCTCCATTTGAAAAAAATTATATATGATCAAAAAAAATGATTTGGGCATCTTATAACCGACTAGGACAAGACACGAAAAACATTAGATGATCAAATATATTTTTCCAAAGTTCCTTGATTAAAAATTAGTGTTTTTAACACATGATCAAAAAAAAAATGATTTGGGCATCTTATAACCGACTAGGACAAGACACGAAAAACATTAGATGATCAAATATATTTTTCCAAAGCTCCTTGATTAAAAATTAGTGTTTTTAACACAGCCGTGGCACTCTAGATTGAAATTTAAATACGATTTTTTAAGCGAAAATGTCAAAAGTTGACATATGATATGTCATTCTATTCAGAGTGTCATTTTCTATCGAATAAAGTAAAAAAATACCGAGGGTACTTACCATTTAAAAATCAAAAGTTGTAGGCATTTCCGGTGAAACAAGAAGTGCATGGCCCAAAAACAATTGAATAAGCCAAACAATCCTAATTCATGTCATATACTAACAAACCTAATCTCGTTTTATATCTGAAACCATAAAAAGGTTATAGGGGTGAGCCACTTTTGAGACGCACCCGGTATACATATAATACAGGAGGTCTAATTGTCACAGTCGTAGACTTGAGAAATAGACATAAAGAAACAATTTTTTATTTCTAGTTTCAGTTATTTTCACTCGATTACTGGATATTTGTAGAATAAATAATTTTTAAATTGCGTTTCTATACAAAATAAATAAAAATAAAAAAATACACTGATATATACCATAACCATAATCTCCGAAATAAAAGAATTATGTAAGTAAACTTTCTTTAATCAGAAATTATCGTTATTCAATCTGTGTTTTGCTAAACTGGAAAATGTCGTGTCTGTAACAGATAAAAGGAAAAAAGTCTAGCGTGCAACTTGAAATTGCAGCTCTTTTTTTCATTTCAATTAGGTTAATTTCATCCAATTCGATAAAGTGTATGACACTACTAATTAGAGTTAAATATCGTTTTAATCATTTTTATAAATAGACAAAAACATTAGACGCCAGATCTATTATATTTCTTTTAATAGATATAACTCTCGTCTAGAATAATTTTAATGTTATTTTTATTAACTTTGTATCATCAGAACTTAACAATGAAATTATTATCATGATATTATCTACTAATAAAGAAATTTTACCCTTAACTTAAATTAAAATGTTTGCCTTTTTGATAAGCCATAAAAAACAAAAAATGTTAAATATAGTGTTAAATTTATTAACTCAGTCAGAGTAATAAGTTTTCTAATTCAATCGAATACGCTGAAAAATACAAATGAAATTTTAAAATTACATTCAAAATTACAATAAAATTACCATATTAAAATACCGGGCAGGGGCGGATACAAGAATTTATTTTACGGGGGGCTCAAAATAAAAAGCCATGTAGAATATGCTTTTTACGGCGCCATTTTTAACCCAAAAACCTAATATTTTACACAATTTACAGATTTTAGAGGGGGCCCGGGCCCCATGGGCCCCCCCTCTGTATCCGCCACTGATATCGGGTGCCTCTCAAAAGTGGATCACCCCTATAACATTTTTATTTTTCACATAAAAAACTAGATTTGGTATATTAGTATACCGGGTGCGTCTCGAAAGTGGCTCACCCCCTATAACTTTTTTATTTTTTCAGATAAAACAACAATATTTGGTATGTTAGTATATGACATAAATTGCGATTGATTGACGTATTCAATTGTTTTCGGTCACTTCCGGTTTCACCGGAAATGACTACAACTTTTGATTGTTAAATGGCACCCTCGGTATTTTTTTACTTTATTCGATAGAAAATGACACTCTGAATCGAATGACATATCATGTGTCAACTTTTGACATTTTGGCATATGGTTTATTTGAAATTGTAACATGCGGTTCATAACGACAATTTGACTCAAAATACCAAGTGTGGGGTATCAAATTATTCGTAAAAAAATGCCTTTTCCAAATATGCTAATAAGCCACCTTCGTTCCATTTGAAAAAATTGAGATATGATTAAAAATACGATTTGAGCATCTTTTACCCTTTTTTTATTTTAATTTATTTTTGAGTGACTATGTCAAAAATTGACATATGATATGTCATTCGATTCAGAGTGTCATTTTCTACCGAATAAAGTAAAAAAATACCGAGGGTGCCATTTGAAAATCAAAAGTTGTAGTAATTTCCGGTGAAACCGGAAGTGACCGAAAACAATTGAATACGTCAATCAATCCCAATTTATGTCATATACTAACATACCTAATCACGTTGTTTTATCTGAAAAAATAAAAAAGTTATAGGGGGTTACAACCTATGTTGCCATATTATCTAGAAATTGTGTTTTCAACTAAAAACTAAAAAAAATTCCAAAAATTTTCAATTTTTTTTCGCGGAAAAAACCTCATAGACTTGTATCTGAGTTCGAAATATGCTACCTCTAAAATATTTACACTTATTTAAGTCTTATCCTGTATATTTCTGTTGTATAAAAAATGTTACCATATTGCTGAATTTGTAGCGTTTTTTTCAAATAAAACAAACTTGTTTGTAGACGAAAAACGATCCCTTTTACTTGAACTGACTTCTGCATTCTCCAATTTATCTTCTAGTTCTTTCCAAACACATTTTGATATGCAGTAAATAATTCGCACTTGTAACATTAGATGGTACTAATTTCGTTCTCAACTCAAGACAGTCATGACCATTTCCAAACAATATCCCTTTTATTAAAGCTGGTCCCAAACGATGTGGCAAACATTGGGACATTTGTAACATCGTGCGGGAGACACACTTGCCTATTATGTATACTGAATAACAATGTCGAAAACTGTGCCAAATGTTGGTTCCAACGTTGGAACCAACATTCGGCACAATGTTATACAATATATATATTTGGCAAGTGTGCCTCCCACACGATGTGGCAAATGTCGGTTTGACCAACGTTGGAAGGTGTTTGCCACATCGTGTGGGACCGGCTTAACCGATGTGGAAAAACGACACGCGCCGTAGAACTGTTAATGTTATCAATATCGTGCAAAGTTTTGAAGATTTAGCCATTTAAAATAGGACTTTAATTGGAAATAAGTCGTTAATTATTTTGAACTCCGATTTAAATAAAAAATTGATCAACACCAAAAAAATCTGATTAAAATAAAAAAAAAACACGATATTTTTGATACAAGGCAGCACACATCTTGGTTTTGATCTTGCAAATGAAACACTAGTCTTGGTCTTGCTTTTCGTGCCAAGACCAAGATTCCCACATTCAGTTATTAAATAGAATAACACTCTAACCTATATTATTTACTTTCAGGCGTCCCCACGTCGTTGGACCTCGAAAATAACTCGAGCCAAAAGAAATACACAGTGAACCAAAACAATTCAAAAGGTCTGGTCATATCCAAGCCGCTATGCACCCTCATGGCGATAGGAGCCCTCTTGTTGGCGGTTTTGGCTGGACTGGTAGTATTTTTCTTAGTACCAAGGGGCTGCAGTGGGACAGGGGAAGGGCCCATGGCATCGTTGATGAAGAAGGAGGGAGAAAGCTCGATAATGATGGACAATTTGCTGGATGAGGTCAACGAAAGGTTGCCAAGAAGTATAAAGCCTTTACATTACAGGTAAGATATAGAGGGTAATTCAAATTTAAGACCCACCGTTGGGATATCGAAAACTATAGGAGATACGACGGCCACCAAAGATAAAAATGTTTAAATCCTAATAAAAAAAATATCTTTGACGGCCACGATGGTTAAATTAGAGCAAAGTTGTTGTTCATTAAAGTGCCAATAATACCTTTAGAAACATTTAAAATTAAAATACGTCAAAAACTAGTTTATTTTTGAACATTTGGTCCTTACGAAAACATCCTATATGAGAGTTATTGCTACGTCCGTGGTTACAGCTACTCTGGAATATCATAGATGGGGTATTATACATAATAATATATATTCATAGATTTAAAAAAATCCGGTTTATAACGATAATTTGACTAGAAATACCAAGTGTGTGAACAACCAAACCAAAACATTTTCCGATGCACGTCATCAATCATTTCTTCATTGACACTAAAGTCTATAAACCTGACTAAATAAAATTTTGGCAAAAATGTTTAAATTTGTTGCATAATATAAGATACCGAGCAGCTCTTCATTTTGCTTTATAGAGCAAATAGTTGTGACAGATATTTTATTTAGATTAAAGCTGCAAAAATTAGTTTGAACCGAATTTTATTATCGCTATGTGGGCACATTGCGCCGTGTTCAGCAATGTTGTGCTTTATTATTTGACAATTATCCTAGTGTCGGTCATTATTTTGTATAATATCGTGTTGTTATGGAATCTGTGAGTAATTCGCGTTTTATTGCCTATTTTCATAGTCTATTTTTAAAAATTGCACTTTTAAGCACAAACAGTTCGTTTAAGAACTAAATTTTTGAATTTTTGTATTGCATTTCTTGAAATTGTGTTTGAAAATATGCGGAAGGTTTAGTCGAAGCAAAGAGCTTGTAACTTCCCTGTTTTTTTTAACTATTTTGAACGAGAACGTGACAATGGCCCTGTTCTCAGAAGAATCCCTGACTAGTCAGCGCGTTTCTTATTGGTTGAAATGTGTAGAAACCAGACTAACAATCAGGTTTCTACGCATTGTAACCAATGAGAAACGTGCTGACTAGTCAGGGGTTCTTCTGAGAACAGACCTAATAAAGCCGGGACCCCATTAGCCAACACCCGACGCGATGCAACGCTATCCCACGTGTTGCAACGTGGGAATGGGTGTACACATTTGGTAACACGTGTTAACACGTCTTAACACGCCTAAAAGTTTTATTAGAGTTAAAAAAAGTTGTCAGTAGGGATACGAAAATGCTAGAAGTATCGATACCTATACCGATATTAGATTATAATCATAATACCTTAACTTCACAATCTCCATTAACCTTCTTTCCTTAATTTTTGATTATTAAATTTTAAAATTAATAATAGAATTTGTATTCTTACTGATTGAACACTCAAAAAACATTTTTGTTTCTATAGCTATCGAAAATAACTGTTAGAAAATAGCTGCAGGACTAGAGAGGCAAGCGGGGAACAACATGCCGTAAAACACGTCGGTGAGATCTGGGACCGACGAATCGACCATCACACGTGTCATAGCGTGTTATAGCGTCGGATAGCGTGGCGTGTTGCCTAGTGTGTACACAATACATGTAATTAAATGGAAAAACATACGCACTGATCTTCATGACGTGGGGTGGCATGGCATCGCGTGGCGTAGCGTGTTGGCTAATGGGGTCCGGGCTTAAAGGTCCTTTATTACCCTCGACTGCAGTCAGAAAAGTAAGTTTGATTGATAAGCATATTATACCACTTTCATAATTAATTTTTATTAAATTCTGTGAATATTAGTTTGTCCATTAATAGCACCTTCTTACTTGTTATTACCACTTATTGCGTTGTAAGATGTACATCAATAAATAAATAACCCATAATAGTTTTTGCCAATATGTAATAAGTATAATAAGCTATAAAACAAATAAATGAATTAATCACTAAAATAATAGTTATTAAATTAAAAATAAAACGTAAAACTCTTTGAAAAATGACATAATAAATATGCTGTTTGTCAATTTTAAATTAAGATTCCTCTCATAAATCCATCACAATCTGGCAGCGCTGTCGCCATCGTTTGTCACTCAAAGTTGATCACGTGCATCGGAAACAGTTTTGCGATTACCATATGTATATTATACAATAGTCACTTACTAGCGAAAAGTTATTTCATTATTTCCCTCGATTCGATTTTTGACCGAGACTATTTTATAGCCTTTTTCGATAAATAGCAATAGTGTCACTATTAATTTAAGTTCGGCCAAAATGTCCTTCTAGATTTACTACCTTTAAACAACTAACTACTAGTAGAATAAATAATAAATAACATAAAATAAGCTCAGTAAAGACCGACAAATCCACAAAATTTCAAATCAAATTCAAATGTGTCAAAAGAATGGTCAAAAAGAACTGTCAAGGATCCACACTCCACACCCTAGGGCCCATGTCCGTCTACCATGCATGAATACATGGATAACATTATACTCCTTCCTTAATCTTTTTATTCAAAGTGTTATCATATGAAATCCTATTCAATCAGATGTGACATCTTTTAAGGAAAAGGGACTGGAACAAACAAACGTCGACCTTTTTCTTTTTCCTGTCCTAAAAACCTATTTTTTCCTCAAATCAGGGCAGTTTTCCCAACCCATGGCATTACACTAATTAGAGAGGAAGACATGCTTCGTGACAGGTTTATAGACTATAAAAATTTCCCGAAGAAATTTGCTAAATCAGAATTTTCATCGTCTCAGCTTATATAAGCTCTTTGCTTTAAGCTTATTTGTATTTAGCACGCAAGGCGTTAACATATTTATTTGATAAATTAAAGTGTATTAAGTCAAATGGGATGCAATTGAAATATGCAGTGACAATCTTATTTATGTAAGATAGGTCAGATTGTTATGTACTAAACTTTGTGTGAAGTGTTAATAAATTGTGAATCAGTAAACAGGGTGGTCCTAACTGTATTCCGGAAACTTCGGCAGTATATTCTGTCCTAAAATACTTAGTTTCGGAGATACAGGGTGTAAAAGTTTCATCTTTATTTTTTTCAAAGAATTTCTGAAGTAACGTCAATATTTGAAAAAAAATGGTGTCTGGAAGTTTTTTGACATGAGAAATTTGACTTTGATGTCAGTATGACTCCTACTTATAGAGGGCGCCACCTACATGTGTTTCAAATGTTTTGAAGAGTTATAATTTTTCATCCGTACCTGTATAAAACTACCTAGTGAAGAAATATACATTAATAAATAAATATACAAGATATTTAGAATGGAAATAGTCAATACATTTCATTATTGACAAAAAATAACATGTTGAGTAGATAGTTATTTGACTGAAGTGATAAATTTGGGAACTTTTTATTTTTTTAAATTAATAATAAATTTTTCTGCGAAAAAATGATAATAAAACAAAAACATTTCAAATTTATGATTTCAGTCTAATAACTATTTAGTCAACTTTATAATTTATGGTCAATGATTACAGGTATTGATCATCTCAATTCCAAATATCTCGAGAACCATTACTCGTAGCGATTTTCACCAAGAGACTTTTTTACATAAAAAACGTCTTAAATGTATATTTTTTTACTCAGTAGCTTTATACAGGTACGAACGAGAAGTTATTACTCTTCAAACCAGTTAAAAATATGTAGCGCCCTCTACAAGTAGGAGTCATATTGACGTCAAAATCAAATTTCATATGACAAAAACTCCCAGACGCCAATTTTCATCCAAATATTATCGTTACTTCAGAAATTATTTAGAAAAAATCGAAATAAAAATATAACTTCTACACCTTGTACCCTGTATCTCCAAAACTAAGCATTTTACGACATACATTTATACGAACTTTTTTACTCATTTTTATCTGCAGAATATGCTGCCGAAGTTTCCGGAATCCCTTCGAGTTCGGACCACCCTGTATATAAATCTGAGAATAAAATATAAAGACAAATAGTACTCTTAAAACACTATTTTAAGAACAGTATTCATACTAAAAAGTAGGATTTCCATTAAAGTTTTTGAAAATTGGGAACAAATGAGCTCTTAAATCTGGACAAAATCCGGATTTTCTCGAAAAATAAATTATGAATTTATTTAGGTATGTAAAGTTTGTCTAGCTAGAGTACGTCTGACACTGAACGTTGTTATCTGTCATTTTAATTAATTGAGAACTTGTATGTTATGTCAATGTTTGGATGTTGTCTGAAGATATTCTTCCTAAAGAACAACAACTCGTTGAATATATGGACAGACTTTAAAAGGGAAATTAAAGACAATTGAAAAAGTGTTAAGTTTACTCTTTTGCCACCTCAAATATCCATTTAATTGGTCATTGGCAAGCACTCTCTCATTGTACATGAAAATAACAAAACAAACATTTACTGATCTGGATAAAATTGATAGTTGGTAAGACACACCCGGGGGTACTCCGCCCCCTAGCCACTGGTATATTCTATTCAATATATCCCATTCCATATTTTCCATCTAATTCAAATATCATTCGGTTATATATTGGTTAATCATCTTCAACAACTAGCTAGTATTATCTGAAATAGTATAGGGGCTTTCCCCGGACGCAAATCTGCCGCTAAACAGATTCGCATCCCAATCGAATAGGCTAGGGGTACCTCACTACCTCAACGCCGCATCGTGTCAATCGAGAAGACAAGGGAGACCTCAAACTCTCAAGACCAACCTCGAAGACAAGACGTCACAAGAGGTTTTCTTCTGGTCAAACGACCCGTTGCCTTACAGTACTTGCAACGTTTATAGTCAAAAGACTTTCAACCCCCAAATATCAGCTCTATGACAAAACACAACACAACAGCCGGCCGGCCTATCAACTACTGACTCGCCTCCGGCTATCTAAGCCTCCTCTTACATCACAATTTTACCGGATCGTAAATATTTACATTACTTGCCAATGAATCATACTATTTTCTCTAATCGACTTTCAAATTCAGCATTACTAGATAAATAAATAGAGAGTTTCCGAA